TTATTATTATTATTATTATTTTCAAATAATATATAGATAGACACACACAAACAAAATGGTTTAGTGATAGCAGCTGAATAGAATAGCATATATCTTATAGTTTCAACAAATCAATAATATGTTCTTCATCTTCCCTCTTCTTTCTCTCTCTATCTCTTGCTCCTCTATTTTCTCTCTTTATCTTCCCTCTTCTCTCTATCTCTTCTCCCATTTTCAGTTTTTTTTGTGTTTTTTTGAAAGAAACAGTTTGGAACCGTTACGTAACGGTGTGTAACAGGCCGTTACGGCTGTTACGGCACCGTTACGACCGCTACAGCAGCCGCTACGGCCGACGCACCTGTGAATCTCAATCACACTGCAAAAGCGGCCGTAACGGGTGGCGGTAACCACCAAAACCGTTACGTAACGGCGTTACGTAACGGTTGCGGCCGCTTTTTAAAACCTTGCATAGGAATAAAACCCTATTGGTGTAGGCGTATTGCAGGCAGGTAAGCACTAGATCTATTTGAATAGTTGTCAGATGTGTTGCTATCGAATCCGAAGATCATCTGAGGACAGCCTTCTTGCATAGCTGGGTATGAATTGTTTATCTAAGCTAGCCAATATTTAGGAAAAGAAGGCTGTTAGCCAAGTTTTGCAAAAATGACTCTTCCAGTGTCTTAAGGATCTCTCTTCCTGTTTTTCCTGCTTTGTCTTCAATGGTTATGTAGACTTGCAACAGCTTATGTATCACTCATTGTTTAGTCTTGTTTAAAAACTTCTTATTTTTCCATAATTAGTCTCTTGTGATTTCTATATTGAATGAGGCAATTTTTTGAAAGTTTCTTTTTAAATGTAAAATAAAAATAAACCAACAACTAACGTAAATTCAATCAGAGATGACATTACAAATTCATGCACATACACACTCATGTGCATGAATGGTCCAATTTGGCATCTTTTTTACTTTTTTCAAGAAGACAAGTAGGTAGCTTGAGCACGTCATGGGCCCAAGAGTTATGGACTATTTGGTTTCTAAAGTTTTTGAAACCTTCCAGGAGACTTTCTATAAATAGCTTGCTTGGTTTAAGTTGTTGCTCACTCACCCACAACATTTCATAAACAACTAGCTCATAGCTCATATTGATTTTGTTGTCATGGAGTCCTCGCTAGCATCAATTCAAGCCTTAGTAGACCAAATTAAGCAAGAGATGTTCTCAACCTCTAACTTTTACTCATTTGTTTCCCCATCTGCCTATGACACTGCATGGATAGCCATGGTTCCACACATTCAACAAAGTGGTTGTCCCATGTTCAAGGGTTACTTGGATTGGGTTCTAAACAACCAAAAAGAAGAGGGTTTTTGGGGTGAAGTTGGCAATGATGGTCTTCCCACCATTGATAGCCTTCCAACAACTCTTGCTTGCATGGTTGCACTCAAAACATGGGGTGTTGGCCAAAATAACATAAAGAAAGGTGCATATGTCGTATAGTTGATTTTGCATACACGAGGCTATGTTTAGAATTTAGATTTGTAGGCTGATTTATGGAAGGAAAAAATAAGAGAACGAAAAAGTGAATAAAAATAGTAATTAAGTATTTTTCATTTATTTCTACTATTTTTCTTTCTTTTCAAAAATCGAAAATCCAAACTCAGCTTTAGACTACCATCGGGTGATATTGTCCCCGAATCACTCAACATATATGTTTGTGAACTCTGTAGTTCACTCTTTTTTTCTTGTATTTTTTCGTATATATTATCTGGTCCCAAAAATAATTTGGCAAGTTTGAAAATACTAATGACCATAGCTTTCCTTTTCAACATGGTTATGACTATATGATTGTAACATTTATTTATTTTCGCTTTCATATTTTAGGTTTGGAATTTATTCATGCGAACTCCAAGATGCTTCTCAAATTGAAAGGTTGTCATCTTCCTCGTTGGTTTGCGATTGTTTTCCCTGCAATGGTTGAACTTGCACAAGCAGCAGGTCTAGAGGTTGTGTTTCCTATCGAAATAGAACGGGTCATATCCAATATTTCTTTCCAAAGGCAACAAATCCTTGAAACGTACTTCTCTAATTCTTAAAAACGAACTATCTATGTAAAATTATATCTTTGAATACTCACAACTATAGTTTAGTCATTAACTTAATAAATTTTTAATATTCATGATTTTGCAGGGAAGAACTTGTAGATAAGTACCATTATCCTCCCTTATTATCATATTTGGAGGCATTGCCCCCATCATATGTTATTCATTCCGAAGATATAGTGATGAATTTAAGTGAAGATGGCTCGCTATTCCAATCGCCCTCTGCCACAGCACATGCATTTCTAGCTACAAGAAACCAAAAATGCATGGACTACATAGAATCTCTTGTTCAAAGATGTCCCAATGGAGGTCAAAAGGCTTCTTTACTTGAATGGTTTAAACTAGCTACCAATGTTTCATCATAAAACAAATTAATAAGAATGTTTGTGTCATGTATATATCCTTAAAAATACTAAACTTTGGTTTTCATTACAGTTCCACCTATGTATCCTGTTGACGCAGAGCTCATAAGCCTTTGTATGGTTAACCAAATACAAAGATTAGGATTAGCCGAGCATTTCACTAAAGAGATTGAAGAAATTTTGGAACATATTTACTGGTAATATTCAACACATTATTTCAAAAAAAAAATAAAAAAAATATCACATTCGGCCTTTGTTGTCATGATCTTACTCCATTTTTCATTTCTAACTTGTTAAAAAAATGTAGGACTTACAAGAACCAAGAATTAGAGGTAACAAAAGTTAATCTAGTACCGGCAAAAATTTTCAAAGACTCTTTGGCATTTCGACTACTGCGGATGCATGGCTATGATGTAACACCAAGTACGATTTTAATCAAAGTTATGGAGCTCTCTCTACTTTAATCTCTTGTAGAAGATAAATTTTAATGACTTACAAAGATTTTTATGTGTAGGGAGCTTCTGTTGGTTTCTATATCAAGAAGACATCATGGTTCATATGGAACAAAATAGTGAATATTTCGCAAGTGCACTATATAATGTTAATAGAGCAACGGACCTTATGTTTTCTGGAGAATTTGAACTAGAGCAGGCCAGATTATTCTCAAGTAAATTGCTCGAGAAAGTCCTAGCGCTCAAAAATGAAACCGATAATCTTGCCATCCTTCCAAATTTTCATAGAGTGGTATGTAAATGACTATTTCTAATGCAAGAAAATGTTACCCTTTTTCTAATTGAATATGAACTCACACTCACTATGTTACTCAATAGGAAAGTGACAAGAAGTCTCTAAATTAATTAAATGACTCTTGTCAAATGAAAAGGTTAAAAAAAAAAAAAAAAAAAAAAATTATTCTCCCTACCATTGGAAAATAAACATGTGGGCTTACGCTGAATTTCAGTTGGAAGAGAAACGTCTTGTTTGGAATAACTTTACAAAAGTTAAAAAGTTATTCAAAAAAGCTAAAAAGTCTATACTATTCGGGGTAGCTTGTGGGGAAAGTTTAGAGGGCAAAATTATTCTTTTGTCTTTTGAATTCAACTACTCAAAAGTCAAAAAGTTAAAAATCGAAAAGTCAAAAGGATACAATGGTCATTTTGATTTTATTATAATATTTTATTACACATCTTTTGGTAAAAAATCAAAAAGTTATTCTAACCATACATTTTTTTTTCTCTACTTTTTTAGTAAAAAAGTTGAAAAATACACTTATATAGTCCATCCCAAACATACACTAAATTTCTAATGACAATAACATGATTATCTAGTATCAAAGTATACAATAACAAAAGTTCAACTCAAAGTAATGAACTAATAACGTATACCTCCTTTTTGTTTCCTTTTGTTCCCCATAAAATACACATACGTTTGTTCAATGAGTGCTTGTTTTGTCATTCCAATTGTAATTAAACCATATTGACATAACCCTATGATGTCGCATAGATTGAGCATGAGTTGGGTCTTCCATGGATTGCTCGACTTGACCATCTTGATCATAGAATGTGGATTGAAGAAAATAAAGTTGACACCCTATGGATTGGAAAGGCTTGCTTCTATAGGTAACATTAACTATTAACTAAATTTAATTCCATGATTATTTGTTGTTTGTGGCGAAACAATTTGAACTTTGTTACAAACATCAAATAATAGAATTTGAAACTACTAGGTTATCATGTAAGCACAATGACAAGCTAATGCAACTTGCTGTGGAGAACTACGAGTTTCGACAATCAATTTACAGGAACGAATTGGACGAACTCAAAAGGTACAATTGATGTTTGGTCACATACATATTAACAGGTAATCAATGTACAAAGAAAAATTAATGATTCATAAAATTCCATCGAATATGTTTTGGCTCATGGAAATAGGTGGTCCAAGGAGTGGGGGCTTAGTGATATGGGATTTGGGAGGGAGAAAACGACCTATTGCTACTTTGCTGTTGCCTCCAGCACTTCACTACCTCACAATTCTATTGCTCGAATGATAGTTGCAAAGAGTGCTATACTTGTTACAGTTGCCGATGATTTTTTTGATATGGAAGGCTCTTTGAATGACTTACAAAACTTGACTCTAGCAGTTCAAAGGTTTTATTTAATTTAATTTGTTTTACTTTATCCTATTGTTTTGGTTGCAATCTAGCACCTCTCATCTCATCTTCTCGCTTTTTTTTATTTATTAATAGATGGGATGGTAAAGGCTTAAGTGGTCATGGTAAGATTATCTTTTGTGCCCTTGACAATTTTGTGAGTGACATTGCTGCAAAACACCTCCATCAAAAAGGAAGTGACATCATGGAAAATCTTCAGGATATGGTAAGCTTTTTCTATACATGTATAATTTAACTCAAAAACCATTAAACCTTAAAATCATATTTTGATCAAAAATATGTTTTGCATACATATGTAAGTGGAGGGAAACATTTGTTTCATGGATGATGGAAACTATGTGGAGCAAGAGCGAATATTTACCATCCATGGACGAATACCTTGAAACCGGCATGACATCTATCGCTACAAACGTCATAGCTCTTCCCGCTTCATGTTTCCTAAACCCTGGCTTACCAAACTATAAACTCAAGCCTACTCAATATGAAACTATCACAAAATTGCTTATGGCTTCGGCTCGTTTGTTGAATGACATTCAAAGTTATCAGGTAACAAAGTTAATTTATCGCCTAGTTTTTTTAATTTTCTTTTCTTCTGTTTTGGTTGATTACTTGGACCAATTTTGTTTCTTTGTTGGGGGTGCTTGCATATGATTTTGCAATTACGCTTGTGCCGACCTAGTTGGGATAAGTTAGGTTAAGTGTGATGCAATTTTTGCACATCTTTTTCCTTTATTGATGTATTTTCTCTTGGTTTTAATAATGATTTATTTCTTTCTATAACATCCTAAAAAACTTTTCATCTTGTGTGTTTTTGTAGAAGGAGATAGCAGTTGGAAAAAAGAACCTTGTAATGCTATATTTGAATGAAAATCCACTGGCAGACATGGAAAAGTCAATTGCTTATGTGAAGGAGATGCTCGACGAAAAGAAGAAAGAGTTACTCAAGCATGCTTTAATTGACGGCTTCAATGATTTGCCTAAACCATGCAAGCATTTCCATCTATCATGTCTAAAAGTATTTCAGATGTTTTTCAACTCTAATAATGTATATGACTCCACCGCTGACCTACTTCATGACATAAAAAAGGCGATTTATATTCCTCTAGAATATCAAATTCCTAAACCATTGAAGCCTCTACGCCCATTGCCTACCAAGCACAATAACGAATCTTCAAAAGTTCAAGCATGTTTCATCAAAACCTTCAAATATCAGGGCACCAAAAAATTCATTGGACAACAGTTTACGAGGACTAATTCAAGAATAGGTTGTGAGAAAGTGATCGTTCCACCAAAATTCAATTTATGCTTCATATAATCAATCAACTATTAAACTTCCCCACACATTTGTCATAGTTTACAAACTAGTTTGTTGTTGTACTTGTATCATCACTATGTAATAAAGCACTGTTTGTGAATTAGTTGAACTTGTGAAGGACTCCTAATATAAATTAGGCTTATTGTTTTGTACTTGTATAATTTTATTCTCTTGTTTAATTCTTTCCTTGTGTTGATTTGGTTTTTGTAATTCTAATCATCAATTTTACCCTTTTTAGTGGGAAAAAATGTACAAGTAGAGAAAGAGAGTGATGAGGCAAATTTTATCCTAATATTTATCATGTTGTGTCAATTTAATTCAATTGATTACGTCCATCTAGAAATTGGATTAAAATCAAGGCACAAAATAGTTTATTCACTCTTTTCAAAGTGGTTGAGAGGTTGGTGTACAATTTAAAATGGTCCATTTGTATTTGAATGGAGTAATTTGCTCTTAATTCTTTAATTCTATCCAATTTCTGAAGCGTGCATCTAAACCTAATTGCATTGCATACTTTTGATAGAGGACATGAACATATCAAAGTGTTACTCAATCTTCATTGACAATCTTCTTGATCAAACATGGAATTGGTGGCTAAGAAGAGTTTTCAGTAGATGTGGAACGATTGTGGATGCTTTTATCCCTTTCAAGAGACGCAGATTTAGTAATAGTAAGTTTAGGTTTGTAAGATATCTTAAGAACACTAACTGATGCTTTCATCCCACTAAAGAGAAGGAAGATCAGTAATAGAAAATTTGGATTTGGATGAAGAGAGAGAGAAGTGGACGAGAGAGAGAGAGAGAGAGAGAGAGAGTGTGGATTTTGGGGAATTGGTTTTTAACAGATAGTGTTTGTATGTTTTATATGTGGAGTGAATATTTTAGTCATTTCATGGGAGCTTGTCCTTATGGACTTAATATTTTAGCGCATGGACCTTTAGACAAATAAAATTTGAATTTGAATTTATTACCCGAGCATCCCAAATTTTTTTTTTTTTTTAAAAAAAAAAGATTTCATTGGTTCATGATTCAGTATCGTCTTTCATTATGTATAAATCTACTTTCATTAAGTGATTTATCAAATAATAAAAAACAAATGATGTTAACTACTACTTGAAATTCAATAAACATATGGAGATGGGTATAAACATTCCATTTTGACTGGCCGTAAGACTTGGCACTTTATTCCGAACACTCAATAATGAAAATTGCAATGTATGATCTTTTGAATTCCTCGACAACAAAGCAAAAATTCAAGCTTTAATCCCAACTATCCCAATCTAATACTTGTTTTGGCCAAGCTATCTTTGACCCTCTTAATATCTTTTGGTTGTGTAGTTCCAAACATTTTCACAATGTTCTAAGGCTCGTTTTCGAACTCCAAATATTATCTTTTTCAGTAGATCGAGCAAAGGACATAGTGAAAGTGAATAGAAGGGTTGGAATTCTCTAGAAATACCTGTTTTTCCTTTCAAATTATGTTAGCCTTACACTAACGGTCTAATGGTACATTTTTCTCACTAACCGTATAACAACTTATGGTCGGATAGAAAATGTGGCCGGCCAGATGAATAATTGTATGGTCGGCTGAATTATCTGAGTACAGAGCATTTTCGCAAAATTCAACTTCCTTTGCAAGTTTTACCCAAATATCTTAGATATTTGCATCCAAAACTCTATATATACACGCCTCAGGCTTCATTTTGACATGTACCAAATATGTTCAAGAGCTAGAAGCTTGTTGAGAGCACCATATCCCACTTCCCCTCAACTATCTTCAACCTTCAACTCTCTTACCCATACCACCTAAAACACCGTTAAAGCTTTTGGAACTTCTTGTTGAGAATTCTAGGCCATATTCAAGAACTTTGAAGGTGCTAGGATAAAGTTTGACACCTAAGAAGTTCATCCTCTCTTTAAATGGTGAATTTTTTAACTTTTCTCTCATCTCTTCTCTTTCTTTCTTTATTATCAAGCTTTATACTTTATTACTATTGTGTTGTAATCATAGATTGGTCCTCATGGATGTGGGGAGGAATAGAATATATCCACTCATCCATTGAATTGATTGAATTTTTTGTTTTCTTTTATTCTTGCACATTTTCTTTGCTTTCTATTGTTATATTTCATTGTTGTTATGTTTAGATATGTGAATTGGAACCTTACAGATGTGAAGGGAGTTAGAAATTACCCACCCATCCACTAGTGTGATTATGTAATGCAATTTTTCTATTTTCATGCACTTTCTCATCACTTTCCTCATTATTCAAGTATATTGGTTCATATATTTCAATCCATACTCAACTCTAATGAGTAGTTATGATTGTTATGTGTAGCTAGTTGGATGATTCTTGAGGTTTGATGTTAGGAAAGTGATTAATTTTCCTTTTGTTTGTATTTTCTTAGAAGTCCTATAGAACTTTTATTCGCTTTATGAGACTTCACCTTAGAAATGGGGCAATCTATTCTCTCCAATTAATAACATGGATTTGGGTATTCAGTTACTCTTATTTACAAAGAGATGAATGCAGATTTCCATCTATTTATTTGGCTTGACTTTTCTTCCAACCTGAATTTCTATACTTGTTAATCATTTCATTTCATAGTTGTTGTAAATATCATATAGCTTCTCATGTTGTTGGATGGTGCGTAAAGCATGTCTTCCTCTTCCTTGAAACATCCTTGTGATAGGAAGGGGTACCAAGGATGAGCATCCTTTAGAAATGCCCTATTGGCTTTCTTTTTTAGGCTTACTGCACAAAACAAGGTTGTTCCCATTTTTCTTGTATGGCCAGATGAATAAATCAGTTGGCCAACTATGTTTTCATTCGACCGGATGACTTTTTCCAGACAGAACAAGGCAATTTCCAAGGGATGATCTCCTAAACTTGCGGCTTCTACCATCTCTTTTTAGTTATTTTGAATTAACATCATGATTTGTTAGATTTAGTTTTTGTTGGCTGAGTCAATTCATTATTGTACATAACTCGCAACCCCATGTCTTTCTATTCATTCATTGATGTATTAATTTCTAACCCCATGACTTTTATCCATTTTATTGTAAAGGCATGTTGTAATAACTTATAACCTCCATTTCTTTCTATCCTTTTGCTATGTATGTCTCCCAATCACCACTTCTTTCTATCCGTTTTATCTCTATGCTTTCCATACTTGTTCACAGCATCACGTTTTCCTTTTATCATATACATGCCTTGCATACATGTTTCATGCATTCAGATTCGGCTTATCTGCATCGATAGGATTTTTTCATTTATAACGTGATTCTATGCGCTACCTCATGCCTTGAGATGATTCACATGTTACATATTAATAACCGGATCTTTAGTTGCATTTTATGCATGTATTGCATTAGTATTTTGCATATAGGATCGTGCATATTTTACTAAACGTTTTGATTTATTCTTCTACAGGACACTAATGAATACTAGATGAGCAATTATAGCTTTAGCATCCAGCTTTTACATGATTTTCTCATTATGTCTAGCATTCTACCGTGCAGCTACGTGCTTAGTTGATATATCTCAATGATTGCCAGTGGATCGAGGTTGTGTCACTCAATTTGAAATAGCATTGATTCTTATGCCTATAAGCTCAGTTTCTCTTGAGTTGTACATATCTCAAAAATCTTTTAAAATGCATGAGATCAAAGCATTCGAAGATGAATGACACAATATATACTTGATTGTTTCACATAGTAATATTAGCATTAATTAACAATAAAAACATGAGCATATATTGTTTATAAAACTCATATCATGGTTTAATTGCCGATCCTTTGATCGAGTGAGTGGGGTGCTCAATTGATGACATTTTCCTCTCATACCTAAGCTCCCAAACCGAGACATTTCTGGTTATGACAAACAGTGACCTTTGGCACGAGTCACGAGTTTCATAGTTTTCCTAGAAGATTACTTGGCGACTCCAAGATTTAGTGATGTAGCCAATTTCTGGCAAATTTTACAATAAATGAATTTTTGTTTCTATAAAATTGTCAGATCGAAACTCTCATTTTCCCTTTCACATTGCACTAATAAAATCATATTAGGAGATCGAGAGTCTGAAGTGTCAAACGCGCTCAGGTACCACCCTAGACTCCTACAATGGGGCCCTTGAACAACTAGGAAAAGGGCTCACTTATAGAAAGTAGAAATGGAAGCAAATTAGTTTCGAGTGAATGGGTACTCTAAAATAGAGCGAGAAGTAATTACTAGCAATTACAAAGAGAAAACAACAAAGTGACAAGTGATAAACTCTTGAAAAATTGAAGAAAGTAGTGGCAATTAGAAGAAAGTATGGTGGTCAATGATAAATGAAAAAAAAAAAAAAAAACCTTTCATAGCTAATGGTTGAGGGCGGTAGTTAGCCATTAACAATGAAGACGATTATAAAAAGAAGGGAAAAATTAGAGAACATGGACCTTTTCTTATCCAAATCATAAATTTTGTAGACATAGAATAGGAAAGTAATTGTACTTTTTAATGTATTTTCTTTCGATTTTAGTGTACTTTAGAATGTTATCAATAAAATTCCCTTCTAGTTCTTTTCTTTGCAATTTCTTCACATTTTTGTAGTTTCAAATAAGTCTTTAAATTTGTCTAAGCATTAGAACCTGAAACAATTGTCTAGTCTTTTGTTTGTTAAATTTGTGTTAAGACACTGACGATCATGCTAAATAGAAATTCTACTAACAGCATTTTAGTCTTTTTGTTTGAGTCGTTCATAGGCATGACAATACACTTTAATACACAATCTACAAGGGGGTTGTAGACACCCCATTTTTAACCGACCTTAAGACTCAAACGTCATCGATTGAGCGCTCGGTGATTGCGCATGTTGTGCTCGTTTCGAGGTTTCGGAGTTCTTGGCTGAGAGCCTCACCTCCGGACTCTTTGTACTTTGACTCTGTCTGCAGACTAAGTCTTGTTTTCTCTTCCTGGACGGAGGGAGAGGTCTTGTAGACCATCTCTCAGTGGTCGTAGG